GAGAGAGAGAGAGAGAGAGAGAGAGAGAGAGAGAGAGAGAGAGAGAGAGAGAGAGAGAGAGCTGAGCAATAGCTCAATGGACAAGAGTCAAGTGGGTAAATGACGACTGGGACAACAGTTGGGGTGATAAACTGGTCACGGGAGAGGTCAAGTTCTCGAACGTGGATAAAGACCCATAGGTCTTCCTTTCTTTAGTGTGGCTGCGTAAGAGATTTGGGTGCCGTTTGATTAGCTCTAACGTGCATTGATTTATGTAAAAGCCTATGCGTGCCGTTGTGTGGTTTGTGGAGGTATTAAGATATCGTTGTCTTCGTCGGTTTTATACAATAATCTGGTGTTTAGGGCCGGGGTTGGGTGACGTATGTGAGCTAGGAGTAAATGGGGAGGCTGTCGGAATGGAACGCCACTCTAGATTGACGCTGTGATTTAATAGATGCAATAGATCTCTCTAGAGTTAATGATCATGTTTTTGTTTTGTTTTGAGTCCTTTTTAAATTGCTCTCTTCTCCTAATGTGGCGGAATGGGTGTCAATGTTTGTATTGGAAGGGGGTGGGTGTCATCAAGTGTCCTTCAAACAGTTTACAGAAACGTGTGGACGCTTGGAAATTCATGTGAAGAATGGCAAATTGCTTAGAGAAGGGAAGACGTCCTCTTGGATAGTCCACATAGCGCTATAACTAACTAGAATCTATCCCTCTGACTCTGGCAAGCTGGCGTTGTGTCAGAAGACATGTTATTGCCAAGTCTTTGCTATAAATTTTCTGTGCGTTATTATATTGGGCTTCTTTATAGTACTCCGAAGAATTTGTGTGGAGACAAGATTGCTTATCAGTGTTGCCTTCTTCATTCCGTACGCTAACTGCCAAGGCAGCCCCCCCTCCCCCCCCCAAAAGGCTATTACGGAGCACTGAAGGTTCAGATCTTACTGAAATTGTAAAAATAGACTGAAAAATAGTCTTGGCTCAAGAGAAAATGAACGGGAAATGAAAGTTTTCACCGTTAGCTTTGCCAGTCTGGGTACATCCTTCAGAAGCAAAAAATAATATGTGTACTGCTCTGTTGTTCTTTAAGTAGCGTGTACTCTGCTTCAACATCTTCCGAGTTTTGCCGGTCTGCGGAGTGACGGTTATAATTTTGAGTTTAGGTGCCACTCTGGT